TGATTATAAGTTGTGAGTTATGATTATTGCATCTATTCCAGTTCGTCAGTATTCCAATGTTACTTGTGGACCGTTATCCAATTATCCGGTTTCTGTTGCCAACATATTATCGTTACTGCAAAAATGGTTTTGCACTACAGCGGTTTTTTTTAAAACATATTGATGAACACGAAAAGGCGATTATCACTTCTACTGACAAAGATGACGAACCGAATGATTTCATTGACGCTTACTTGAAAAATATGATTAAGTATACTGAGCAAAGAGTATATAAGTAAGGGTAATGAGGTCTTGTTTTTACTAATAATGAACTATTAACTTCCGAAGAGGTGAAAATCAATCAGGACTGCAATTCGAAATCGCTCAGATTTACTTTAATGTGTCGTTATTTATAACAGAATATTGTAAAATACTTCAAGAACATTCTTTTATGAAAGGCATATCTTCAGCAAAATAACATTGGCTCTGAATTCTGGAGATTTATGGACAGGTGGAATGGAAACAACGGTAACAACACTTCGCTGGGCGATCATCTATCTTATTCACAATCCGGTTGTTCAGAAACTTGTCCATGATGAAATAGATAAAGTATTTTTTTTTTTGATGAATGTAGCTGAAAAAAAAAGTAAGGTCATGCACAACCATCTTTAAGTGATTGATAAACAAAGAATTAATCTTCCATGTCTAAGGCTATAAATTCAAAAACTGAAATGCAACTTTCAAGCTCCTCTTTAATATCATAGCTCATGATGCGATAAGAGAGTTTATATCCGAATGAAAGCGATCATTAAGTATTTGTTGGAATATCGCATCATTTCTAATAATGTGACTTGATTGGCTAATATTCAGAATCTGGGAACAAGAATGGTATATTGGGCAGATCGAACCAACATGCACTATACAATGGCAGTGATTTGTGAGGTGCAACGTATCATAAATATATTACCATGGCATATACCACATGCTACTACTTCCAACACAACTTTGTACGGCTATAAAATTCAGAAGGTGAGAAAAATGTCATAAAAATAGAAGAGAAAAAGTAGTTTTATCATTTGGATTTGTTTATTTAGTCCATTGCAGGGTACAATGATAATGCCACAAATTGGTGCCATTAATTTTGATGAAAATCTTTACCCAAATCCGGAAGCTTTTCAACCATCACGATTCCTTAATAGTGAAGGTACTCTCCGCAACTTTGAGCATTTGATACCGTTTGGTATTGGGAAGCGATCGTGTTTAGGAGAAGCACTTGCTAGAACAGAACTTTTTATCATCTTGACAACTTTGCTGCAGAATTTCGAATTCACTGCTGCATATGGTATGTGTAAACTGCTTTTCTATGTAATATTAAAAGAATGAACGCAGGATAGATGTGAACTCATGATAGACATGATATGTCTCTAAATTTTATTTAGATTTAAAATAAAATTCTTGTTTATTATACAGCGGCAGTTTCTATAAAAAATTCATGAAGAAAAATGAAAAAATTTTTTCAGGATTTTTTCTTAAATAACTTTGATTTCAGGGAAACCACCAAGCTTAAAACGACATCCTGGAATGGTATCAGTACCCCAAGAGTACGTATGCCAGATACGCACTCGTAACGAAATGGCTTAACCTTATGTGTTTGCTGTTATTTGTATATATTATTATAACCTATTTTTAGATGTGATAATTTAACTTAAAAACAAAAATAAAAGATATGAATCGACTTATTGTTTATCAGCAAACAAGCAAACTTGTAAAATCTGTCTTGTGAAACTTTACCCAATATTTTTCTGCCGTTGATGTCATTTATACTTTCTATGGAATAAAAAATTTATATTCCGAAAGCGAAACTGAATGATAAGGCCAAGACTAAATAATAAGATTAAAAAGGAGTGACGCTAACAGAATAAATAAGAATTTTCATCAGCAAATCTCAACGTTCTAGAAAGTAAAGGAAATTCAGATTATATGGTGTTCTCTTGGCGATAATTCCATTATTATTGATCTTATTATTAATTGACTACTAGTGCTGAGATTGCGCAGGACATTTCCTTTTGATCGCAATCCTTCTGCTATCACTTGTTATCTGTTAGCATAAATAAGATTAAGTGAATTTTTGGACAACTTCTTTCAACTATTAATTTCTAAGAGAAATTATTGCTTGAAATCGATTTCCAGTAGATTTATCTACACATTATTAATTAGATCTATCTCTTAATCAAGATTGATTTTTGAATAGCGCTTTCAGGATTTCTCATTTAGAGATTTGCTAGATTTGAACACTTGAGATATGCTTTGATTTTATATTTGATAAGATTTACTTACACCTTTAGGATTTTCTATTGTCAAAAAGAAACTCACAAGGCATAAATTTGAATTTCGGAAGTTTTCGTTATCCTAAAAAAACCTATCATGAAATAAGTAAATTTTTGGATTCAGGTTCTTAACAGTGACGAAGGATTCAGGTTCTTAACAGTGACGAAGGATTCAGGTTCTTAACAGTTCTTGAATGTCCAATCTGTTAAGCTGCAATTCAATTTTTGTGCGACAGCAAATTTACATTTTATGCCTACCTACAGCATAAATTAAATATTGGAAAATATTAAAACATTTATCAGAGGTTCACAACAAACAGGAAGTAATCGGTTTCAAATGCAAATCCAAAAAGACAACACCATTTCAGCATTTGGATACAACAATGATGGAGAACGATGACGAATTAGAAGATGATAATGACAATGACAATGGAAATTCGGGAATTGAATGATAAAGGGATTCTCTCCAATAGTAAGAATAATGATCATGATGAAGATAAATCAAATAAAAGAAGAGAGAGGAAAAATAACGTTAATTATTGACCTGGATCCGGCTTGAAGTCTTTGATATTAATCTAGGTTTTTTAATTCAGCAAAAAAATTTAAGCTTCAACGTAATATCTAGATCTCATTGCAAGTTCATAGTTTGAATAAACATTGTGCTTTTAACAATCGTAGTTGTCATATTTATTTTTCTAAAATACAAATGTAATTAAAGATTAAGAAAGATGACATGGACGAGAATCATTCAGATGGAGTCATCAATAATTATGATAAGTATGTTCCTTCGTTCCTATGCATAAAAATATTTTATTTTTAGATGCAGCATTTTTTGAGCAGAGAATAATAATATCATACAAAATTTCAGCTGAATGATTTATTGCAATTTATCAGACATTCCTTCAAAGCAAAAAACAAGCAAAAACAACTTGTACAAACGTAAATTGCTTATATTTTGACTTATTTTTCAGGTTCTACTTCATAGTAAACACTTTACCATGTTAGTTTCTGTTCGATATTTTAGTCTAAATCCAATATATGAAATGATTTCGTGATTATCGTTTTTTATGGGTTCTTTTGCTTATAGTTTCTGTTAAAGTTCAAATTATAATAAATCTATTTCGGTCTTTTTGTTGTCACATTTTTGAGCATTATCAAAGACTTTTCAAAATTTTAAAAATAGCTCATTAAAGAATTCTCAATGAATAAATAACCTGCAGTGAATACGTAGGTTTAAATTTTATCCCTGTTTAAATGTTAGGTCGATTAAGAAAGAGGAAAAAGAAAGCATGTAATATCAATCCAATGCTTCGTTTTTCTTCTTTCATTTAGAATTGAACAGATTAAAACTTTCTGCAATTATGCAAATTTTTATCTTCACCGTTAGGCGGAAGCTATTTAAAGTTTGGTTTCTTTAATTATTCAATCATTATGCAATTATGGCGACACAAGTTTCAATCAAAAAGTTTCGCTCACTTTTTTCTCAGTCAATTATCTTTGAAAGTATTATTATTGGTGGCGGAAAAAAATTGTGGAGAATAATTTCCTTGATACTTTTTCTAGGTCTTTATTATGCCATAAATATCATAAATATTTAAAACATTAAAAAAGTAAGAAAATATTCTGAAGTTACAGGATTTTAACAAATTTTCTTTGTCTCCCCAAAATGGCCTAAGCAACGAATTTGAACAAATTCTAAAGTCTCACGTCGAAACTGATTACCTAGATCTTAAGAATATGCCGATTTCAATATCAGAGCGAAGGTATGTGTTCGCAGAGACATGATTTCGATTCAGTAGTCAGGCACATCGGAAGTTAAAATTCTATTAGAAGGCAGGATCACTGAACTTATGGTAGTTATTGTGACATAAGGCATAGAAAAATCAAACATTTTATTTTCTTAAATTTTACATTCATTTTATTTCAAACGTTTTGCTGTACTAAGTAAAATGTCACTCCGAGCATAGTCACAATCAAATATATAGCAGAGATATGATTTTGGATTCAGTAGTCAGGCACAGTTAAGTACTTGATTGCTAAAGTTATGCTAAAGTTAAGTATTTGATTAATCATAAGAAATAAATATTTGAATTTATTAATTACTTCATATAATGCGCTGTACTGTAAACTGGTCTTTCTGGAAGTTTTTTTAATTTTTTGATTTATAGCATGTCTGAGAGTATGTCAAGTATAAGCGCTCAATTGATTTCTTTTGATACAAAAGCAATCAGTAATAAAGATCAGGTCTGGTAAATATTTTTTTAATAACTTAACTTTTAATACATGGGATGACAAATTTAAATTTTATCAGGAAATAATCCTTAAAAGTTCTAAACCTTCCTAATTGACGAAACGAGTTTTGAAAAATAACATTTAAGAAAAACTAGAATATATTTTAAAAGACTATACAAAGACCAATACGAGATCTGTTATTTTATGAAGTCAAATTTTATATTATATTTTTTCTCCATTACTTAAAAGTTGGTTAAATAATTTATGATATGTGATAATTAAGAGATAATTTAGAATAACAATAAGGAAATAACACTTGGATCTTCTATTTCACCATTGAAAGGTTTGCTGTTTCAGTTTTTTTCAATTCATTTTTAAATGAATAGCATAAAATTTGTTTAATTTCTTGCAGAACCAAATGGAATCTGTGCTTGTGTTGCTAAACCAAATTATCAAGTAAGGATGTATTGCGTGCAATGCACGTTGAGACTTAAAGTATTGTTTATGTATTAATAAGTAATGTAATGAATTCGAGATTTATTGCGCCAAACTATGACATTTTTTTTCTTTAACTTTCTTTGACACGCATATCAGTTAGAAAACATAGACTGAAGAAGAACTGGCAAAAGTAGAAAGAGATGAAATAACAGCATGGAGAAGACTGCTTGATACATTAAAATGGACAATTAAAGTATGCTATGTTCTCTGTCCACCAGTACCAAGTTTAATGATCCAAAAAGCTGCTTTTCATCCTCCAAAACATTGTCATTACTATTTTCTAATTGGTGGAAAGGTGAGCAACTCGTTTAAAAAACAGGTGTTAAACAAGAATAAAACAGTAAAAGAAAATAATTAATGATTGAATTCAAAAGCAAAGTTAATGAAAATAAAAGCTAATAAAAGTACTGCAAAATGTTTAACCTCATTGATTATGCAAAAAATTATGAAGTGTTTCTTGTAATAATTTTATGGGCTATATCCTAATGCCCATATTTTGTTCCATTATTTGCTCCCACTATTTGACGATATGTTCATTCAGCAAATAAGTATTAATGTGTTTACTACACATTGGAAACGACACTGCTGTATCTTATTTAGCAGAACGATTTAAATTAAATAAGCAAGTGAACAAGACACATGAAATTTTTGAAAAGAGTCTTTGGATATTTCAAACCCAAAATTCAATGTTCGCACATTAAAAGAACTCCTACCATTGATATTTTTTTAGAAAATATATTCATAAAATATTGATTTACTAAAAGCAAAGTTTTAGGCTAACAATCGCCAACATTTTCGCGATGCAAAAAGCGCTCGGGAAAGTACCGATTTGACCATCTGCTTGCCGCATTTATTGTTACCAAAATTTAAAAATTCAGATGTCGCAGACCAGCTGTTGCGGATTGAGGTTGAACATATTGAAAACTATGCTATTTGAAGCAAAATTTTTATCATCGAAGAATGATTGAAAAATCAGCTAGATTTTTGAATGAAATATTCAGTGAGAAACCAATGCAATAAATGATAATGTAGAGAATCCAAAATATCTTTGCTTTAATTACTATAATATAGAAGTAAGAAATATTATAAGTAGCAAATGCTTTTTGCTAGTATCATCGTATCATGTGTTCGGTTTCGTTTCATCTTTCATTATAATTCATTTATTTACTGTTTAAATTAAAGAAAAAGCTCGAAAAATTAAAAAAAAAAGTTACCATATCTATTCCTTGAAACAAAAAACTGAACATTTAGAGACGCCAAATTTTTCTTTAAAAAGAGAACTTTGCATTAAAATTAAGTGTTGAAAAGTAGGTCCATTTAATAACATCAGCTAATGACGATACTATGGTGGCGCTTTATGTCCGATGTGAGAAATCTTACCAATGCAAAAAATCAGCGCCTTATGTAATACTTTTCGCCCAGCCAAATAGTTCAGATCTTGGATCGTGTATGCTTACCGACCCTAACTTGGTATGTTCCTCATCATCTTATTTGTAATAGAAACATTAAATTTTGAACAGCAATGAAGTATTAGCTTTTCAAATTTTAATTTCTGTATTTTGTAAATTTTTATGCTGTTCTAGAAGATTTTGTTCTGAGTTATTGGTCGCTGATTATCCAGGATTTTATGTTCGGCTCATTGTTGAACATTTCAGGTTGATATAGCAGATTTTTTACAGTGTGATCTAATGGCATTTGACTACAGTGGTTTTGGGTTGAGTACTGGAACTCCAACAGAAAAAAGCGTTTATCAGAATATGGAGACCGTTTATCAGTTTGTTTCACGATAAATTGAGTTCTTATAGAAAATAGACGTAGGTGACAGTTAACTCTTCTGTTATCTTCATGTTCTGCAGAGAAGTAATTGATGAATAACAAGGAAACATGATGCTTATCATTCTTTATATATTTATGTAGAAATGATGAATTCTCAATGTTCAGTGCAATGATGTTGTAGAGCTATCAGAATGTTTTGATTATGTATACATAAACTTATTAATTAGTCTTCAAATAAAAAAATAATGTAAAACCTTCAACATGAGTTATATCAAAATGAAAGTTATGATTTTAAAAATTTAGCTATTTAATTGAAGAAATGAGGGCACAACCAAATGAAATAATCCTAATAGGATTCAGTATGGGCACCGCAGTTGCTATTCATTTGGCGTCACGTGAAAAAGTTCCGTTAAGCCAATTATTTATTCACGAAGTGTTTCTGAATTTATTGCAACAAAACGAATGAAGAAATGAAAATAGACCCAGTTGCATTTATGTGTAGAAAAAAAAAATTTGTTTTAAATTTGCTTGTTTAAGCTTTCTATGGTGATATCAAACCAATGAGTTATTTGATTTGTGCCTAAAACATCAATGCAATTAGTATCATGTATATATGTTCCAAACGCAACAAATTCATTTGACATAGCATAGAATCGAAATAGAACAATTTAATTATCAATATTTTATTTATGATCAAAACCGTGTACTCGCATTATCATTTTCTTCTAAATTAAAAACGTGATATTATAGGTGGCGGGATTGGTTCTAATTGCCCCTTTCACATCACTATTACGTGTTCTTGGACGCAAACCGGATAGTAAAAAGACCTGTTGTTTGGATCAGTTCTCAAGGTCTGTTTTCTACATGCATTTTGTTTGATAATTTTTATACACATTTGTGCTCGATCGATAAGAACTAAATTTCTCGTTCAGTGCAGCAATTACAAAAACGGAAATTTAAAAAATGAAAATATTTTTGAGAGCTTCAAACAAATCGGAAATTTCTTCCACTTGACTTTTCGACTTGTTTGAAGTTTAAACTGAAAGTCGAACAGCAAGATCCCTGACTTCTGTCCAAACTATCAACAATTTAACTAAGAATGAATGAACGAAATATTATTTGTTGGTGATAAGCAATGGATTAATTTATTGGTAGTTCCTGAAGTTTACTACTGATTCATACACTAAGTAATAAGATAACGCTGATAATCCCAGAAATTGGTATCTTTACTAAACTCCTTACTTTCTTATCGAATTTAATATTCTTTACTCTGCTCCGTAAATGAGATAAAAGATCGTTTTTCTAAAAACTCCGTGTTATGCATGTAACTCCAATAAATTTTACAGCATCGATAAAGTGTCAAAAGTACATTGTCGTACATTAATCTGTCATGGAGTGAAGGATGCGATTGTTTCGATTAATCATAGTATTGTATTACAAAAGCGACTCCCAAACGCTACAAAACCTTTTTATCTTGATGAAGCTACTCATCAAGTAAAATTTAATCTTTAAAAGCAGCATTTCCATCTCATATTTTAGGAAAAGTTGATCGCTTCTGGGAATTCCATTTGTATCGAAAATTTTCTAAAATAATAATCACTTTCAGAAAGTTTTAGACAAAGTTGTACAATAAGACTGATGGATTTAATTTACATTTGAGCGAATGTAATTTCAAATTTCGGAAAATTAAATGTAAGCAATTTTTATAGGGCATATATTGCGAACGCAAAATGTGGAACCGCGTGCAACAGTTTCTGTTTCATGAGCTTGATAATAGCAGGAAATGGAATGAACCAGTGAAAACGAAACGAGCATTTATTGATTATAATTTTTAAACTTTTAACTGTGTCTGTTTGGAATTTTTGAAGGACTAGAGATTTTTTTGGAGTAGAGAATAATACTTTTTTCCTCACATTATCAGACTAAATTTACTGATCCAATATAGCACAAGTCCACAAATGATGAATTAACGATGAAAAAATTTTTTATATTTCAATACTTTATATTTCCGTATTTCTTAATAACTAGTGGTATTCAATAATCTACTTAGAAAGAAATTCCAGGTAATACAATACTATTTGCTTAATAACATTAAGACATCTTGAAAATTGGATGTCAAGCCAAATTAATCAGTAATGGATCAGCTTTCGAAATCTTTCATCAGAAAAGTTCCATCAATTAGAATTTCGTTTTTTAAAAATAACGGATCATGCCGTTTGCAAATCGTGGACTTATAATTATTACTTAATGCATCTCAGCTAATGTCACATCACTCATTTAATCACTTCTTTAACTTTTTATAATTCAAAAATTCTATCAGTAAGCTAGAAGTGATTTTTAAGACGTCTATTAATTACTACAAATACAATGAATTATATATAACTGTAGAGTAACCGAAATGTATTAAAAATCTTCAAGAAAAAAATTTCTAATTAATGAATTTATGAAGATCAAAGAGACTTATCCTTCTTTTGAATTGCGAATACCGATTAGTTTGAGCTGGAGAAGCTAAAAAATATTCTTCGAATTAGCCAACATTTTTTTATCTATCACTGCAGTATCAAAATTTATTAATGGAAATTTGTTTGATATATTTTCAAAGCTTTGATTTGAAGAGAAAGATGATGGAAAAATTAAAGATAAAGGTCAAAAATAAGTTGGATGTACTGATAAGGCATATTTATTCAAATGTAGATATAATTATTTACTAAGGTATAAATATAAGAATAAAAAGAATAAAACGGAATTTAAAGGTCAATTAAATCCCGCCATTAAGAAATCAAGAATTCACCTTTTCATTCAGTTATTTATCATTCAACATCTGACATAGAAAGGCAGTATGCTCTTTTACAAAAACAGACTAAAAATACAAGTACAAATTAAAAAAATTTTGCTAATTAATTAATTAAAGGTCATTGACATTAACATTGAATCCATTAAGGACTAATCATAATAGTTCACTTCAGTTCATTATGATTAAGCATTTAAGGGATACAAGTATAAAACACTTGGTGTCTATTAGATTTAAGAAATAATCAATGGTTACGAAAAAAATGTCATTAAGGACAAATGATGGTATATAATTTATTTGGGTTTAATTTTTCATTGAACGATAAGAATGAATACTGTCCTAAAGTCATACAAAATTATTCATTAACGAACCAAGTAGGAAAATAGCAGGATTATTCTAAATTTCAAACCAGTTCTTGTTGTCAACTGAAGTTTTTCTGGAATGTGATGAGATGAAGTGGTATTACATCAGTTATTCATCAATTATTATAAGACTTGAAAGAAGATCAAGATATGACTATCAAGACCAGTCAATTGATTTTATTTGCTGATATAATGGTATAGTTCAAAAGATAAAATAGGACTTTATGTCTAGAAAAAAGAAGAAATTATGTAGGCCATAAGTCCAATAAGGTAAGAAAAAATTTTCTGCATTTGCGACGTATAACTGAATCTTTGCCTTATTCCTGAATTTCAGTTCTTTCTTTGGATTTGCATGTTCGATTATTAAAAACTTGATTACATTTCAGTTGTTGGATTTTGAATTTTTCATACATATTAGCACTAGGTAATTTTGCATTTAATACTCAAGGATTTATTTAATATCCAAATTATGCTATGTCTATCAGTTCAAGTAATCTTAACAAAAATCAATTAAAGAGTTCATAAGGTCCCACTGGTCATTTCATCGTAATTCCTCAATTCAACCTAAAAAAGAGAAGTTGAAAGCTTACTGCAAAGAAAAATCTCAATATGGCGGTAAAAGGAGTCAGTCGTGAAGCGCTCTGTAGAACAATGCCCATCTGAAAAGTTTGGAATTACCACAACTTATATTGACAGCGAACAAAGTGAGAATTGCAGTCATTGAAAGCGAAGGGTTAGTTCTGTTTAACTTTAAAATTCATTCCAATAGATATTACTTATCTATTTCAAAAACCATTTTAGGTCGTTCAGGTTTATAAGTATAAATTTCCCTTACATACTTGATTATATGTTAGCTAAATAGATGAAATAGTTCAGATTACTTAAAGCTAGCTTCAAGCAACAAATTATGAATGCAGTGATAGGACAAGATCTGTTAAGAGAGAAGCCTTTCGATTCAGGTTTTAAAAAAAGTGATCTGTATATTTGGCAGTGGTTCCAGTTTGTTCATCAATCACAAGTGCTATTAGCTGAACGAAAACAAAAACGGAAAGCTGAGACGCATAAGGTCAGTACTTTTAATTAAACAGTTCCCGTTTTTATCACTTTTTTTTTAATACATATATATATAATATTTTTTAATATATATATTTCAAATATGTAAATCTAATATTTAATCAAAACATGCGAACAAAACCGTTTGGAATTAAAAGATCGATTTAGTTATGGAATTGTATCCCCAATCATATCAAAGATTTATGTGACAGACGATACAAAGCAGTAGAAGTATAAAATTAATCACTTTTTATATAGTGTACAATTAATTACATTAAAAGAAAAAACAAATTGTGAAGTGTTTTGTTTTTTGTCAACGGATGAACAGAAAATGGATAATCAGAAGAAAATATGCTTCACATGACAATTCTATGAAACAGTTATTGCTAATTTCTTTTTTAGCCTTCTTACAACCAAATCATTACTGACGTGCAGCATAATATAAATTAATATTGGCTGTGCTTTGTAGACTGACGTTCAAAATGTCTCTTAACATTGACAATAGTGCAAGTTTTAGACGGTACCATGTCAAGCCTGGAAAGATACTGGTCGTTGCAATTATGGGAAACGTTGCAAATTCGCACATGGTCCAGAAGAGTTGCGGCCTATGCCAAAGGCAGAAGTGGTTAGCAGCCAGTGTATCAGATTCGAAAATATTCTCAGAAACTAATTTTATCGTTCATTTTATTCCAATAAATAAGAAATTTTTGACTTTTGATTTCAACAGCAGCAATCTTCAAAAAATACTGAAATCCCTTAAAGATTTGACATTCTTTCAGGTTTCAATTCACTTTGAATATTTTTGCTTTGAATATCTGTACGTCTTGTTTTTCAGAAAATTTTTAGCAATCCTCGTTATCGTACTGCTTTCTGTATTAAATACACTACATTTGGTTATTGTCCTTACGGCGACCAATGTCACTTTATCCATGATCCTGTACGAATAGATTTAGAAAAATGCCTGGATCGACTATCCCGATCTTCTTTGTCTTCACCACAGCTTTCTTCAGGACAAACAGATGATTACTTGGATAATGCTTCTTTTTCTAGGTATTGATAAGTTCCCCAAAAAAAAAAAAAAAAAACTGCCTTTCATAGTATTGCAATGATAAGCCAATATCCTAAAATTCTGGAATGTATCTCAAGATGAACCTTTCATCTGGTGAAACAAATGGCTGATTCTAGAATCAAATTAGAAACCACGCATCTGGAAGAGAAGAGAAAAAGGAGCCAATTGGAGCCGGTTTCGAAATCACAGTATTCAAAGACAGAAACAAAATTATACTGGGAGTCAAAAACTGTGTCCCAAATAAAATCGGCGTCAGAAAATGCAATTGAGACGACAGTACAGGATCCATTCCGGAGTAACAAAGTTCACGATGAAGAAATTGAGCTTAAGCCTTTGCAATTCAATGCATTTGATGACTTCCTCTATGTAATTAATCCTCAAAGTGTGCTTCCAAAGAAGCAGTAATATTGTTTGTATACTGTGTAGAATTTATGTCTATTGTTTTTATTTTGATCTATATTACCATATCAAAAAGTCCAATAATCTTTCTAGAAAATTGCACCTTATATCTACCCAAACTGCAAAATCTTAACTTATTGAAAATTAACCGCAAATTGCTGCTGAAAATGCACCTCCTTAAGTAGTGTGCTCTAGAAGAATTTCATAGATGGAGAAAATTTCAGTGTGCAAATTGATCTCTACAGTCAATTCAGCTAACCCTGATTATATTTGGTACAATATTTAGTTTTATTATGCTTACTGTCCGATGTAAAACCAGAACTGATAAAAAATACATTTCGAATTTTTTCAACTCATTACCTTTTCATTCACTACTAAACATGTTTGAGTAGACTGATAAGAAGTACAACTTTTCAGATACTACAGCGAACGATAGTAGTGGATTACATCCTAAACTCATCCATCTCTTTTCTTTTAACTAACAGAAAAACGAAGTGACAATTTATTTGAACATTAGTAAAAAAATTACGAGAAAAAATACAAATATAAAAATTTGAACTACAAAAAAAAAATCACAAACATAATATTATTTCAATTTCTGCTTTAATGCAGCAGCTCCTTTTGTGTGATATTTTCCTACTACTGCCAAAGACAACGCACTTCTTAACAATTTTTGAGTCTGTTGAGATGCATTTTCGAGAATATGCAAAAGGATGAAACATCCTTTATTACATGCGAGCTGAAATTAATACTTTCATGAATAATGAAGACAAATACCAGGTAACAAGTCCTTCCTACAACTCTTGTTTATAGATGTAGTTTAACCTAAAATTAGAAAACAAGAAAATGCCTACCCTAAAATTTACATAAATATGAGACACTGATTAACTCATAATTTCAAAATAGCTCAAGGAATTTGAAACGAATAAAAATTACCCAAGATGATAATTGATCTCTGCAGCGTTCCATAATAAAGTCACCGAGCCTGATGTCAAATTTAGAATCACTTTTCAGCAATTTAGAAATTACAAAATGTGCCTGGGGATGTTCAACCGGATGAAGTTGTTCTCTATCACAAGGTATGAATTCCCGACTGCATATTAAAGCAATTGCATCATAGCAGGCTGCACGATCTTCCAAACTTACTTTCCGATCGAAAAC